ATCAGCTGCATTTCACCTAGCATTCGTTTACAACGTATTTTTCTTCTTTCAATTGTCAACCCCCATGTTTCACATTGATTCTTACCCACTTTAAGTGCTTCTTGACAGGACTTTTCACGTGATTCTATCAATTTCTCTTTTAAAGAATCAAGATCATTAGCTGCTTCTCTAAAATTCATTTTTCGGTCCTGAAGACGTTTCTGCACTCGATTGATAAATGATAAAAGATTTCTTCAAAAATGCAAAAGTAAATCAAATATAAGCATGCGTTGCAGAATATTATGAGCACCACATTTTGTTTCAGCAGTGTTGCCATCCTCACTTAATTGCTCTAACAGTCCTAGCAATTCACCTTGTTTTTCATGTACAACTTTTACTGCTTTTTCTCTTGCACTCCACCATGTTTCTGACTCAGGCTTGACAGAGATCTTAAGCTCCTGCTGCAGTTCGTCCCATCCAGTTGTTGAATGAGCAAAGAAATTATAAATGGCTTCAATTTTTACCAAAAAAGGTAATAACTGTTATTTCCTGACTTGCAGCATGAAGACATGCTAAGTTCACACTATGGTTGTCACGGTTTATAAACACTGCTTCTGGATTTTTTTTCAGAATTCCTTGTTAAACGCCTGACAGATGACTTGACATGACAGCAGTATTATCATAACATTGTGAACAACAATCACTCAGTAAAAATCCATACGCTTCTAATTTTGTACTTAATGTTTTCTCAATATTGGCATCGTCTGTTTCCTTTATCTATATAAAGTCAATAAATGACTCTTTGACTTTTACTTTTCTTGTTTTAAAGTCAATCTCAACAAACCGAATCACTTGGGCCAATTTCTCACGATGAACTAAATCAGGTGTGGAATCAAACAGAATACCATAGTAATTGTTTCTACGAATTGCTGACAAACAATAATTTCCCACATGTGAAGCCATGAGATTTATAAACTCATTTTGGATTTCAGGAGAAAGATAAGATGTTTGCTTGTTTTAACACGCTCTAAATGCTCTCTCATTACTCGGTCATACTTTGGTAATAACTGCAAAAGTGACAGGACATTTTTAGGGTTTTCGTTTGAGGTTATGTCCTCAGTATGACCACGAAATGCAAGATTCTGAGAAGCTAAATATTGTGTACAATCTAGCAACCATCGCAGTACATATTTCCATTTATTTTTTTCTTGCTGAATTTGCCTTTGCAGATCTTCATCAAAGCCACTTTGAAGATGAATTCGGCACTCAGTTTCTTTCTAAGCAGCAAATGACTCACGATGACTGTCACTATTTTCATGGGCATTTAACTTTTCAATTTTTTTTCCACTTAGAGAATCCGCCCTGTGTTTTGAAAGTAGACCGACTATCGGGTGTCATACACGTAGATGAAAAAAGAAGACAACAAAAGCAGTATGCTGATTTATGTAGAGGTGAATACACTAACCAGGAATGATTGAC